CCCCTGTATCCATCATACATCTTTCTGCATTCACATGGAACACAGTACACACTGCGGACCCTAAGATCGAGGTCATGTTTCATTCATTTAAAAAAATCAGCACTCTCCTTTGTTAGGATCTGCTTTTACCGGTTCTCACGGTCTCTTTGCTTGCAGATTTCTTATATTTTTTCTTCTACCCTGAAGATGGAGGCGATACGTTCCTCCGAAACGTCGGTTAACACCACATATACACGGTGCCAAATCCCAGAACACTGCTTTCTTCATAGTCACCGCCATGAAAGCCTCAAATCTTACACAGGATATACATAGTTTTGATGCTCAATCTTAGCAGAAGCCTGCTTATCCTCTTGTAGGTGGTCTGCATACAGGTATAATGGCTACTCTGTTCAGCTTCTCTTGTTGTGAAAATTACTTCAGTTTAGAGTAAGGGGCCCAGTGGATATCCACTGTACCACAGCCATTCTAACTGAAAGTCTTCTGCCCAGGCTGAGACAGACAACAATCATATAAATATTACATGTAAACATAACACCTGTCATATCAACCCCTGATGATGGAAAGAGAGAAAGAATTTTCGAAATGTCAAATACAAACTCCACATTGGTGCACTTGATTTCCTTAGATCTCATTGTATACTGTTGCCATAAAGCTTCAAATCATAAGCAAACACACAAGTAACAAATAAAGAGGTACTGATCACATGGAAAACATGATTTGTTGAATGTAAAAACAGAATTCTTGATTTTGGAATATACACACTGTTGTCATAGCTTCTGTAATTTGTATTGCATTAAATGGTCTTGTTCCTGAAGCATTAATGCATTATGACACAATCTGCATTATATGATGGAAATTACTTATGCAAAGAGTGGTTTGCATTTTATTCCAGGATTAGGCACAAACACGTGAAAATATCACATTTCTTTTGAAGAGTTATTATACTTGAGATCATATTTAACTTTTATTTATAAATTAGTTTAATTTATGCACCAATAAATTAAGATCTACACTGACTTTCAGTGCCTATTACCAGTTGCATGCTATGTATGTATCATCCTTCTGAAGTTCAGTTTTACCCTTGATACAGTTATTTAGCATTATTATGTTATTTTCATGTTCTTTCATGGAAAGGTTCAAGAAAGTAAAGTCACATAAGTCTGATTTATCCCTCATTCCTTATCAGTTAATAAAAGTGCTTTGTAATTTGTATATATCATTTAAATATTAAATAAAAAATAGGTATAGGACTTCTACTTGCTTACTGTGTAACTGAAGATTATTTCATAATGATGTAACTTAACTCAGATAAAAGGGTACAACACAGCAACAACAGATCAACATTATAGAAAATATAAAAAACAAGTACACTCTGATATCAGAATCATGCATAAGGTTTAGAGGAACACAATGCTGCACTATTATTTTGAGTATTTATGTGACTCCAGGAGGTAGGATGGGATGGTATGGATTGGATTGAACTGGCTCGGGATAGTGACCAGTGGAAGGCTCTTGTGAACATGGTACTGAACCTTTGGATTGCATAAACTTCTGGAAAATTCTTGAGTACCTGCAGAATTGGCGGCTCCTCAAGAAGGGCTCAGCTCCATGAGTAAGTATGTAAGTCAAATTTTAAATTTGCTTAGTGGTGGGTGGAGTTCAACTGGATCCACTCGGCACGGCAGCCACTGATTCGCCTACTGTACCTGCACCGGGTGATTATGATAATGGAGAATTTGGTGGAATGAAGATTTGCAGGGGAAACCGAAGTACTCAAGAGAAAATCCACCCCAGCACCACTTTGTCCACCACAAATCCCACTCGACCAGACCCGGGATCGAATCCGGGCTGCCGCGGTTGGAAGCCAGCGACTAACGCTTGAGCTATGGCGTGGCCCAAGTATGTAAGTAAGTAAGTAATGTGACTCTAAATCACTCACTCATCAAAAATTGTAATTACTGCGTTACAAAAACTTCTTTCCAGAGCATTAAATCCAATACTGACAAACCCTATTTCTAAAATCCAACCTGCTCTGTTCCTGTAGCAGAAGACCGGTCCTCAATTGACATAATTTTGGTGGCTGCAAACAATATTGTTTGAGCATGGAATTTACAAATGATAAACTATCATTAATCTTATTCAAATTTACTGACTCCAGCAAACTAGAAAAGTCGAGTGAAAGTCCGCTGCTTTATGTTATGATAGATTGTTTAAACATCACTGTTCATACAATTACAATTACGTTTTGGAAAACTTAAAATTTCATTCTTTATTCATGAAACAGCATTATTTATATGGATCATTTATTTCCTGCCCTTTGATTTTGTACATTGCTGGTATCAGAGATCCACTCAGAAATATTAGTGACTTTTAAAACCTTCCATACTATGTTTTCAAGTAATAAATGTTTTGTTCACTGCACCTTAGCCACAAATATATTATGTAACAATGTCAATATATTTGACAATAATTTCTTTAAGACCAATTTTCTGGTTAATTTGGTTAATACTTACAATATTTTGTTAGATTCACTGCTGTTATAAACTACATTTGTCCTGCATTTAATGTGTAGTAGACATCTTATATATGCATATACTTGTCCAACATCTGTGTATTGTTTCCCTCATGTCTTATTTGTTTGAGTGTGCTAATTCTGTAACTGGCTTCTGTAGCTATTGTGTTATAATATAAAAATAAAGGACTTTAATTAAAATAAAACTTGTAATTAATATTCCAGAATATTTTCTTCCTTCTTCAAAAGCTGAATGGTAAAGTGATGTCAGGGATGTCACTATTCATAATCTTGACCTTTAAGTAAATGTGTCTCAGTAAATCACTGCATTCTCAATAGGTTATGTCAGTTCATCTTAACGACAACCTCATACTTGAGAACTACTACTACTACTACTACTACTACTACTACTTAAAAAAAAAGTGTATTCATGTAGATCTGTTGCTCAGCAGCAACCAAAAAATCAGTAATTATATAACAGCCATTGCTAGGCAATGACTCTGAAACAAGCATGTTTCCACAGTAACAAGAGAATGCAGCAATAATGGAAGAGGCATTTTCTACGCAGTCCGTGCCGAGATGTTATAAGCAGGACCATTTATCAACTGTCCGACAGCAATAAAAATCTGTTCTTGGGCCCCAGATGGGTGCTTGACACCAAGACAGACTGGCTGACTGACCTATCATAACTTTGACTTGTTGCAGTTATCCCTGCATGAAGGCAGGTTCAAATACCTCCACTGTAGCCCCATGAGTCATAGGAGGGGACAAGAAGGGAACCCAATACCTGGGGATATAATTGGACCACCCTGTTCCTTTGGGATATAAATACAGGGACCTTGCCCTCCAGGTTGGGGAATTCTCAAATCTGAGACAGCAAAATATGGTCATAAGTCTCGCCAGACTCAGACCCAAGAATGACTGCACTGGTGAGAGCCAGCAGCAAATATAAAAAACAGACCCATCCTCTCATCAGAGAGAGCAATCACCATCAATAAACCTGCAACTGTCTGACAGTAATAAAAATCTTGTTTTGGGCCCCAGACGGGGGCTTGGCACGAAGACAGACTAGCCAACTGACTGTCAGTCATGACATAACTTTCACTTTGACTTTGATGCAGTTAGTCAGTTAGAGAACTGCTTACAGTTCAGTCACTGTTAGCTGCTGCTGTTAGAAGGTAGCAGCTGAGCCCGGGAACAGTTTGGGAACCCAGAGGAAGGGCAACGTCTGCTGTTAAAGCCGCTACCAAGCAACAGCAGTGAAGATATGACTGTGGACACTATTGTGTGTGTGTGTGTAATAGTGAAATGTAAAGTGTACACATGTGCTGTATCAAGGAGTCCAATAAATGGAGTCATCAATCCAAAACCCATCTATTGTCACACCCTATCATGTGACATGGCTTTCAAGACCACAGTTTTGCTTGTGTCTTCTTCTATAATCTCCCACTGTGTAAAATGGTTTCCTCCAGGCAAAGTATTAAAGAAGAGATAATGGTTTCTACAATCTCTGCAGATTTCACAAATCTAATCTGTAAACACTTATGAGATTATCATCAATATAATCACATTCAGGAAAATGTTTTAAGCTATACATATTATTACATATATTACTTTTACAATTTTAGGTATTCTATCAGCATATATCTACGCAGAACAGTCAATACGAGGGGGTACCCAAAAGAAACCGAACTTATTTCTTTTTAAACTTCTTTATTCAAATTTTAAGCACAAACCTTCATTCAGTCTCCTTCAACGTACTCTCCACTTACACTAATACACTTGTCTAGTCTTTTATTCCATTTTTCAAAACATTGTCTAAATTCATCTTTTGAGATGCTTGACAGCATCTCCGTCGTTTTTCCTTCACCTCAGCGACATCAGCAAAACTCTTTCCTTTCATGTCTCTTTTCATTTGAGGAAATAAAAAAAAGTTTTGATCATTTCGGGACTCTTCTTTCAAAGAACAGCATGTTTCCACGCAACCTTGTTTTTGTTCAGCAGTCAGCAGTCGTGGTACGAATTTCGCAGCCACCCTTTTCATTCCCAAATCTTCTGTCAAAATTCGCTGAACTGAGCTCCAAGTCACTCCCAGCAGCTCCACAGTTTCTTCAATGGTCCGTCGTTGATCTTTCTTGATGATTTCACGAATTTTTTCAACATTTTCATGTGTTCGGGCCGTGGAAGGACGACCAGAACGAGGTTTGTCATCAATTGACATTTCACCATTTTTGAAATGGGAAAACCACTCAGACACTTGAGTTTTCCCCATAGCATCGTCCTTGTACGCCGTTTTTAACATTTCAAAAGTTTCTATTCCACTTTTCCCGAGCAAAAAGCAGAATTTCACTGCCGCACGCTGTTCACGAAAATCAGCCATTGCAAAAACGACGATCACACAAAACAGTTGTCACTATAAACTCTGCCAAAACTAGTCCTTACCTTCTGAAGCAACGGTAGTTGGCTTATCGACTCAGGAATGTTAGCTCTATGCGCTCATAGGGGCAAAACGCGGTACTACAAAAGCTTTGCCCACAAAAAAATAATTCGGTTTCTTTTGGGGACCCCATCGTATATTGCATCAATTTGGTACCTATACACCATCAAAATGGACCACAGATTTGAGCCAAGTTTATTATTGGAGGTAATGGATCAGGATTTCGATCTGAACTACTTCAGCAGCAGTCTTGGCACTTCCTCAACATAGTATAGATTCTGCATGGAGATCAAGCTACTATATAAATATTCACATTTTTTTTTACAGATTTTGTTTCATTCATATACCTATAATGCAGAGAGTATTCAATATTTTTAACACAACCTAAATAGAAAAAAACTTTCAATTACAAATGAACAACACTGTCATTCATTATTTGTTGCAATTGATATAACCATACATACTTGTAAGACAGAGTACATAAAATTGCAGCTTCCTGGAAGTACCTCTTTAGGTATGTATGTAATAAGCAATAAAATTAACAACAAATATATATGACATATGACTTTTGTTAACTGTCTTTCACTACACTTCATTAATCTAGATTAAATGTCCAGGCAATATAAATACTGGCATATGAATATAAATTCTATAATCATACAAAAACATTTTGTTGATTTAAACATGATTTTACCTGGTACAGTATTTTTGTAACTACATGAATGTTTGTAGTGCATTATTTAATCACAAGCCAGTCACTGATTATCAGTACTCATCTTGCACATACACATTTTAGCCAATTTTACACAACTGTAAGTTACTGTAACATGTTTTCTAAAACCAACAGCATTTTCTCTTTCTGGTTCTATGTTAATGCCCTCAATCTTATGTATATTACTACAGTGTAGTATATTAAGACTTGCAGGGAGCTTGAATGCTGTGCAGATTTGTAATGGACAACAAACACACACAGTTGTTTGCTACAGCTGCTGGGGCCAGATTTTAAAGTGCACTGGACAGGACTCTACATGATTATGAAGATGCTGCTGAACTGCATCACAGGAAGTGATGTGATAATGAATCATACTGTGGTTTCTGGATTACTCCACTCATCTAGATGGTCCTTGCTGTCACTCTGGCTACCTGTTCCTGACTGGTCCAGAGCATCTTGTCTCAACAAATGACTTGTCGAAGGTGGCATCATTTTACTGCTGTTAAGTCTCAAGTCACTGTCACTTAGTTGTTCATGAGAACTAAACTGTGCACCAACTTCCACATTAGTATCTATACTACTTACACTATCACTCACTGCCACTAAGTGGTAGTAACTGCTTGTTGGTTCTAACACTTGACTTAAGGATACAGAAGAACCACAGGAAGAGGAGACATAGTTTTCAACCACTGCCATGTTATCATCTTCCACAGGACTGTCCATAATGGGATCAAGATTACCTTTATCAGCCTCAGCTGGGAGCTGATCCATAATATCTTGTTCCTGCTGTTGTTGTAGCATCACTTTGGGGGGAGATAAGGGTGTTGTTTTAACTGATGATGGTGAGTCTTCACTGCTGCCAGAATGACTACTGTATCCACCCACTATGACAAAACCACGATTCAGGAATTCAGATGCCAATGCATTCAATCCACTACTGGCAGCAGGAGTGGAAATCTCTGATACAAGAGGCGTACTTTCATCATCGCTATCTATGTCTACATGCCCTGCTGCACAAACTACTCCTCCTGAACTACTGGAAATGTTTCCAGCAGGAGCTGTGACTGTACGCATGATCCGATCCTTTAATCTATTCAATTTTTCCATGCTCGAAGTTGGAGTTATAGGGAAGGTTGGAGATACAGATGTGTTTCCTACAGCTCCTTCACTGAATGAACCATTGGATATTTTATTACGTAAAGAAGAGGTAAGATTTGCTATGACAGATGTGGATCCAGCAGGTGCAGGTTTGCTATTGTTACGTCCATCATCTGCAGATCGAGAACGAAATGCAACATGATGCTTTGGAGAGGCTGGGGGTGTTATATTTTCCATATTCAGGTCATCACCAAGCACCAATAAAGATGATGGTCTCTCATGCTGTCTAGGTTTGGGTACTGTACTGCTACAACCTATACTTTGACAGCTGGTGATGCTCCGTGTTGAGCCTGTGCGCTGAAGAAGACTATGCAAAGAACCTCTATTTGGACCTGAGGCTGATTCCAGTTTAGTTTGTGGTAAGGGAGGCTTTCCACTCATGCCCTGTTCTGTCATTCGCTGCTTACGTTGCTGGATGGGTGTTGCATTAGTAGAACTACCAGCACTTGGGCCAAAGTCCATATTAGAATCATTACTGCCATTGCCAATGCTAACAGTCACTGGTTGCCAGTATGGATGATGAAGAGGAGATGACTGGAGAACGACTACTTCTGTTTCACCCAATGTATCAACTACACTACTGCTCTGGCTGGTTGTTCGGACACGACTGCTTCTCAGGAGATCTGTATCCAACCACAAGAATCTGAATGTCAAACACTAGAAATATTGAAAAACTGAAGACATAATATTAGTGCCATTAAGCAACAAATTCATACTTAATTAGTGAATGGTTTTACAATATCTGTAATGTAATACATAGTAAAGTACAATGAAGATACACAATAACGAATTCTTACTTGAATTTCTTTATATAAACGAGGTTCTTAATTATTTCTCGAAATTAGCATCGAAAGAGAGAGGACTTGAGAGAAGAAAATGAAAGAAATATGAATGCATATTAGAGAGAGAAAGTTGAGGAAATATTAGATTATTAACACATGATTTGAAAATAAACAGAAACAGGAAGGGATATAAAAAGACATTATGCATATTCAGCGCATCTTTTCAGGACAATTTACGAAACAGTCTAAAAATATGATCACTGTGTGAACGTTCTTAAATGATTTGTTACCTTACAGTCTTCATCTTCTATTGATGTCAATCAAGAAAGAAGAGCTATATAGAGTAAGGGCTTATAGTAAGCAATGATCATATGCATGCAAACACTTCAAATGCTCTCAATCAGAACCTTCATCCTTCTCTTCTGAATATCAGTTTCATTTACATAAGAATGGAGAGCAAATTACACAGATATGTGCCTCCCTTTATTTTTGAACAGTATTGCATATTTCTCTCTCCATATCCACTTCCTACAGTTAGGGAATCATTCTCCTATTTGCATGTTGTTGTGAACTGATTATTGTATTAAAATATATCAAATGGTTTTTCTTACCAAGTTATCTGTAGAATCACATATTACTCTAATTCATAAATATGTTACAGAGTAAAATTACATATTATATTGTTATATGGCAACTGAAATCTTGAACAGTTTAACAAGAAGACCCAATCATTACTAGGCAAAGGTACAGTAAGTATGTTTCCACAGAAACGAATAAACACGCAGAAAAGTAATACTGTAGGGCTCATTTTTTATCCATCTGTATGATTATGCAGTAGTGACACTACTGCATTCATAATGGTTGGCTGAAATACTTGTAGCAGTAATTTTCAAGTGACAATAGTTCATGCCAGATCATTGTTCCACCTTTGAAGTGGGTTAACTGATCATTATTCCACTGCCAGAAACTGTTCCATCAATAGAAGTAACAAAGCAGAAATGATTAAGTAAATTACCAAAGTATAAAGAATCATGATCTTTAACACTCTGTGGACCGCGCACCCTTTAAAAAGTTTTTCGCTTTTAAACATGGCGGACCGTTCGCATATTAACAGGCTTTTAGAACATGATAAGTTGCAACACATTATACATCACTCTGGCACCACCTACATTGCACGCAACTGCCTGCAGATGCGTGATAAGACTCTGAAATGTTTAGTTAGCAGTCAGTAACTTGACCTCATTGTTTACTTAACCAACTATAAAGGAAAATGCTTTGCCTTCTTCAAGCTGTGTGTATCAGCCAGTAGCTAGTGGGGAGAATGGATCAAGGACAAATTCTCCTCCAATGACCTAGCTGACCTGCCTTGTGAGGCGCGTAGTAATGGATTGTCATTCAGACAGTGACAGTGACGGGGGACAACAAAGAATTGTGGCCACAGACAGTAAAAGTGACAGTAGCTCCGACGATAATGCGGGTAATAACATTGTGTGTAGTAACACAGCGGGGACAGCAAAAAATCTAAAAAAAAAAAATCTAAACCCTGATTCAAAATTGAAATACAAAGCATTTCTGACGAATGTGGCAAAGGCCTGGGCTACAGTCCAGATGGCGGCGGCAGAACCAGGGACACACAAAGATTTAGTTAGTTATTTAGAGAGGGTGGGTTTCCCCATGCACCGCGACCAGTTTGATCTATTGTGCTTCCCTCTACCAGTCTCTATACCCTACCGATAAATGGTGTGTACCATCAGTCCTGCCAAGCAAGCGAGTTCGGCCACTTGCTTAGCGGTATCTATAATGCTTCCCCCATCTATCAGAGGCCTTAGAGACTATTGTTGTGCGGGAAACGTCCTGGAATTTGGCTCAGTGATCCCCTTTGGGGATATGAAGTTCTTTTACGTGCCGTAAAGTTACGACAGGGGACACAGAGCTTAAAGTCCCTCCTGGAGGACTTGTTCCCTGAATTTTTCCGCCCTTAAAAATTCGACGACCTCTGCCGGGTATTTGAACCCGCGTACCACGAGTCATGAGGTGGGAACATTACCTCTAGACTACGGAGGCCGCTTTCACACAAAGACTTAGTATGACCGGGTTCATCAACTCCCACCCCACGAAGGCCTCATGTGGACCCCCCAGGGCGACTCTTGAGTGATATGTGGAAAAATAGCCTTGTGAAAATTGTGAAGAGTGAACATTCCAAGGGGAAGAATACACAAAAAAAGAGTATGTCTACATTTGCAAGTTCTGTGTAATGCCACTTCACAAAGGGGAAAGTTTCCAGAAATATCACACCCTCAAGCACTTCTAGGAGCATTGGTAAGTGTTCTCCAAAAATTTTAGTTCAAAAAATTAATTAGGAGATTTTATATTAATTTTTAAAGTGAACAGTGCACAAGTTAGGGTAGTATGTTTAAAAATGCCGGTCCCCAGGGTGATTTAAATATTTAAATCACCGGTCCACGAAGTATTAAGAGTACAGGACATACAGCCTGTTTCAGCCAGTTCTTTTTGTTTCATAATTTCACACAAATGTGTTAATTTAGTTATCAAGCTATTTCTACCATATGCTGTAAATGTTAGTACCACTTTTAAGTTAGCATACAGACACAAAATTTTATTGTTATTTATGAATGTTAATTTCAAATATCAACATTCTAACCGTTGAGTCTATATTTGCACAAGATAAAAAGGGATCCAAACAAGTTCTATATTTGGAACTAAGTAATACAATGCAAAGAAAACGTACCATACAATCCACCACAAATACTTATTTCCCTGCCGAACTTTCCAAGAATGAAGATTTTTACAATTGGTTTTGCAACATCATGAGAAGCACGTAAGAGTAATCTAAACACACCAACTTAAAACCAGAAGGAATTCTGTAATATATACAATACCTTTTCACATTTTAGTTCACATTCTTTGGGGTTTTATGATGAGGTGTAATTGTTGATGATTTAAATTCTATTTCATCTTCCTACAGCAAGAAAATGTACAACACTGAAATATCGTATTATAGAGAATTTGTAATATTGAAATCAATGTGGATATTATAGGCAATGGACTACAAAAATTTATAGTAAATTAGCACATTATTTCGTGATATATATGAACTACAAGTTACTAGATGTTCTCATTTTATTTCCTCAGCTTCACTACATTAAACAGCCAATTCAAGCACAAAGAAGTGAAGCTCATGTTAGTTTTAATGATTTACACAGAAAGAGTATAAAATTCCTGGCTTATGGTTATATGCATCCAATACAAATATAAATATAAATTTTAAAAATACAATGCGCTTTCCATATAAAAATAACCATTGTAGGAACCGCCACCAAAAGTAAAGAGGTTATAAAAGAGGGAAGTCCTGCATATATTTAACCCATTTTAAGCAATACATAATGTAGTCTGCCAATGCCTTTATTCCATTGATTTAGTAAAAAAGAAAAGCTTCAATGATAGGACAACACTTCATCTCTGAAGTACAAGTGGCTACACAGAAACTAAAGCTACACAATGGAATTTCAACTTCAATGAACTGACAAAACAGTGTATTTTCTACATTACTGTACAGTACTAAACAAATTCTCTGAGAAAGACCTCTTGGTATCTCTAAGTGCTGATGTAAAGATGTGAGTCTGGGTGCAACAGTGATCGTGCTCAATGCTCATATACAGCCAGTAGGCAATATTCATGTGTACCATCAAACTCGTCAAAAATAAAAATTTGCACATCTGCTAGTGCTGCAATATTTTAACTGCAAGGGAAAGTCATCAAATACGTTTTTAGAGAAGGGTGAAAGGGGGAAGAAAAAGGGAGTTAAAATGCTGATAAATAGCAGTGAGTTAATCATCATCAGTTTCACAATATAGATCTTAACAGTTCATTCTGACTCCATCCAATATTAGATCTGATTACTATTTCTTGGGCTTTCCAATATATGTCTCCTGCAGAATGATACTACCAGGTTTATTTTATCTTTGGTAGCCCTATATTCATTACAAATGTTTTATCTCATTTTCTGTTTCCTTTATTAATATATTCTACTCCAGTCATGCTTCCCCTTCTAAGGTGCACATAACCGTTCCATACACATAATAAAAACACATAATCTTCAGGTTAATTAGAAAAATATGAAGTAAAAATAAATTCTAACAAAAGAATTAAGTGAAAAGTACTGTGAATTCAAATATTAAAAGTAATACAAACTAAACATGCTTTTTCTTCATGTTTATACACCTAATTTCTAAGGAATTTATTAAACTTGATAGTTTGAAATCAACTGTGTACCATTTACAAACTGCAGGAATTGTTAGAAATTTGGTTACAGGGCCTTTATAACTGAGAACAAAACAATGACCACATACTGTGGCTTCTCATGTAATATAAGTTATGTCTTCATATTCTGGACTGAAAATACATTGCAAAACCTTGAAATAGTGAAATTCTGAGAACCTACATTTCTTTTACATTAATAGGTACGGTATATAGCCACTGAGCTACATTTATTTTATCTGCTAAGAACCACAGGGTTTTGTTATGTGGAAGTCTTTGCTATGAAATGTTCCTATGACAGGAAGTTTTACTGTACCTAATTGAAGAGATTAAATTTTGTACAGAGGACAGAATTATCAGTTACAAAAACAGTAAATTTCACATTAACGGAAATTCCTAGCACAGAAGCAAGTTTAAAGTTTGTTTTCAGATTTTTACTTCATCTGATGAGCATTATGATTAAATCACATGGTATATCATTTCTTAACTCATTAACACTAATTAGTGAAATAAAGATGAAAATCAGCCTTAGGAGCTGTGGCTCATGATTCAAGTATTTTCATTTCATTTCATTTAGTGGAAGAGCTGATATCATTCCAGAACATATAAGGACCTTAAAATGACAGGTAACTTATAAGTTGAGGGTCAATGCTATATGCCAACTGGGATCAAAAGATGTCACTTTTCTTGCCTACGAGGAACATAGTAAGGCAACAAAACTAATTACATCCATATCCTGATTTATTTGTAATTTTACACAGACTTATAGCACCTTGTTACCTTCATATGAACTTGTTTTCCTCTCCATTATTGACAAACTACTCTATAATTTGATATTATATAATATGAGTTGAGCAGGTTGGGACTGTTCTAGATTTTTGGATGATGATTGGTTTGAATCTTCACCAGGACACTGCTATCCTTACTGAGGTTTTTGAGGTTTCTTTCAATCCTTCCAGGAAAACGCCAGGACAGTACAACAATCAGGACAAGGCTGCTTCCTTCCACATCTTTTCCAATTCATTATTCACCAATAATTCTACAATATGATGCTATATACTCAGTGTTACAAAATAAACCACAAAAGAATCTGAGGAATTGTAAGTATCATTATATAAACATGGACAGAAAGAATGCCTATGAAAAACACAGAATAAGTCTTGTGTCTTATCAAAATGGCAGATTTTTAAGTTTCTAAAAATTATGAGGATATGAACATTTGAAACCGGAGAAGATGTACTGGTTATGATCATCTACTAATCCCTGTGCTACATATTAATAAATATAATGAAGACAAACTAGGTGCAAAAAATTGAAAACCACATTACAAAATAACTATTAAACAAATTTGTGAAATGGTGGAAATTCATTCTCAACACTCCAACTTCATAATAACTTTGAAAGGTGTTGCTAAACTGACAACTTGAAACTCAGTAACATTCAGCTGTGACTCTGTCATGTCATACTTGTATTTTTAATATGTTTGAATTGTTACTGACTTCATTTTTAATTTAATGTACATATTGTCTTAATTTGCGTTAATTTAGGAGACGTGTGATACTGGTTTCAATAAGAATAACCAAGCAGGTCAATACTGACATAATTTGGAAACAGTTCATGTTGTATACTGTGACTTAAAAGCCCTATAAAGATGATAATTATGGATAGAAATGATCATGTTGGCAATTAATATGTTGTTTTCGCTTATGTCTGAAAAGTGGAAATAGATAACAAAATATATGATCATTATGTAACTTAAAACAGCCTGATGAATTTAACTGCCACCTCTTCACTGACATACTCCACTTCCGGAGATAATAACATTTCCAGCTGTACCTTGAGTAACTGTATGAATCTCATTACAAAATGGGATTTTCAAATAGAACATGTCACAGAAAACCCTCAACAAATCACAAATAATTTTCAAGTTTAAGTTACATGTAATATAATTACATACATTTGATCATGTGAATTCTAGATTGTCTGACTTAATTATCAAAATAACAGTATTACACATTCACTGTGAAAGAAATATAAAACACTGTGTCAACAAACTTCACAGTTATGGGATACTAGGCATTCTTCATCAATACTGATTTTATGCAGAATGTGGCTGATGATGTGGCCTTTTTTAGATACTGTTAATTCTAATGCTGTAATGATGACAGAGAACTAGTATTTATGGAAATTTTAAAATACTGTAAGATTATAAAATTTCAGTGGAATTGAATCCTTACTGAATCTGGAAATCATATATTAGAACTGAACTAGAAACATGACACAAAAAGACACACATATATGAATGAATAGAGGTATCAGTCAAGAGGTAAGCTTACTGTAAATACTATTTTTCTGTAACACATGCTCAGATATTCCAGAGTACAACATAATTATGTGTGTTTAGAAAACAATTCATAGTGACACAATTACTGCTTACATGATTTGTTATTTTTTATTGAGAAGCACACAGCCTTGAATAATTAAACATTCAGTTCAGCAGTGAATGGATTATAATTTTTTTCTGAATACTTTCCAATTACACAGTAGACATATTTATGTTAGTTAAAACATATCATGAAGATTACAGTCTTCTAGGACGTGTCACAGTGTAGTTGTATTTTGGTACCTATCTACCAAACTACATGATGTCACATTTTAGGAGACTGCAATCGGATCTCACAGAGTAATTAGCATTTGTATGAACAAAAATGTAGCCTATAGAGCCTTTCAAACTCTATGATCTTTTACTATTCCTCTGAAATCTTTAGCATAAGTCATGTCACTGCAATTTGTAGATACTGCTGCATTACTTGTTAATAAGCATAGACATGAATGCTGGGACCTTGAGTAAACTGCCTTCACACTTTCCAATTTCTTATGAAAAATATTTTAATTGCTGAAATTATTCAGAGACGATCCAATTTGAGACAATTATGAACAACGATCAAGAGGAAGGAGGAGGAAGTAGTTGTCATGTTATTGCATAGCTGGACTAAGGAAAACGATAATAAACCGAGAAAAAGGTCCAGATTGGGATTTAGTTGTGCACATCCCAACATCAAATAAGCAGAAAGAATATGTTTCTATTGTGAAAAATTAAGATCAGAATTTCGTGAAGCAAAACTGGGACTAAGTTCCTATGAAGAAATTATAAAATTGTTACAGAAAGAAATAAGTGAGAATGTACTTCCTACACAGCATACCTCAAGTATACATAAACTATATCGTAATGGTGAGCAGACTCAAGTTTTAACATCAAAAGGAACCTTATACAGCTGTTCCCACCAACTGTAAACAGGTATGAACTACCAGCTAACCTCAATGAAGAAAGCGAATCTCCAAGGACCTTAACATCAAAAGATATAGCTCAAAGTTCAAGAGGCTTTAGGATGACAAATCAAAAGATGATACAAAGTGTGAATAACAGAACATGGAAAAAGCATAAAATAATAATGATAATTGGAGATATTCGTGTAAAAAACTGTGCTACTGAACTAGAGCATAACTTAGGTGTACATTTTAAAGTCTCAAGTTTTGTAAAATCAGGTGCAGAAAGTTAGCACTTACATTCATAACAGTGTAAATTTTAAAAATACTGATTTAGTTAAACATTGTGAAGACCAAGATATTGAAATAAGTGCTTTAAAATTAGAATTTAATTTAGTAAATTTATGTGTATTAACAATTTACAGAGCCCCTACTGGAAAGTTTAATAACTTTTTACATAGATTAGACACCATTCTTCAGATTTTATATATTCCTATTCTACACATTATTATATGTGGGGACATAAATATCAACTATTTTATTGAAAGCGAAATGAAAAAGCGACTAGATACCTTGCTATTTTCTTACAACTTGCCAGGCATTATCATTTTCCCAACTAGAGTTCAAAAACATTTCTATTACTGCATCATAAAATATTTTTATTGATATATTTCCATTTGAGAACTATACTATAGCCCCTATTGTAAATGGATTGTCTGACCATGATGCTCAATTATTAACAATCAGCACTTATTTCTCTCAGAAGCCAGTGACTAACCGCCTGAGCTATGGCATGGCCTTATATTCCATTAACTTTTATAGGCAATAAGTCCATTTCGTCAAGAATTTTTCCAGATCATTTAAAATTATCTACTATAAAACTTTTATACTAGAGAGGAGATAAAATGAATAGAGCAAATTACAGACCTATATCACTTTTAACTTTGTTTTCTAAGGTTTCTTCAAAAGGCCATGTACATCAGATTAATTGAATATCTTAATATTAATAAGATATTGGTTAAACAAAAATTTGGACTTGGGAAGAATTTAGCAAAAGAAGACGCTATTTATAGGTTAAGAAATACAATTTTAAATGCTTTAAATAACAGAACTGTTAATCATGAAATATTGATAAAGTCATCATATTATGCAGTAATTAGTAAGACCAAGTCATTATTTGGATCATATCTTAAGAATAGATACCAAAGAATTCAAATTACTAACCATCATCTCAATTCTAACACAGTTTCTAAATGGTCCAAAATAAAACAAGGTGTCCCACAGTGGTCAATTTTGGGCACTCGTTCGTAACAAGAGTGTTTTCTAAGGTGAGGAGATTTTAGCCCCACGGCCAACCCCCAAGCTGGAATACCACCCCGTCAACTGTTGACGACTGCTTATTCCATATATTCGCAACTGTCTAGAAAATGTGGGATCCTCGATGTCTCACAACCCTATTGGTTTCCAGGGTCTGTTACAGGGATAGATTTATCTTTTTTCCACCTTTTAACACTGCTATCAACTTCATATAAAATTTTATCCAATATCCTTCTCTCAAAGATAAGTCCATATATAATTGAAATTATTGGGGATCATCAGTGTGGATTTTACACATAGAAATCCACACTGATGATCCACACAGATCAACTAATGGGATACTGGAGAAAAAATGGGATTACAATAAGACAGTACATCAGCTATTCACAGACCTCAAGAAAGCCTATAATTCAGTAAAAGTAAAGCTATCCCTGTACCAGGCCGTGAAGGCCCACAGGGTTGTGAGACGTTGAGGGTCCCACACTATCCAGACAATTGGCTCAAAGATGGTGGTAAGGTTGTCAGCCTTAGGTGCCGGCAGCGCTTTACTCCCCAGAAAAATTATTTTGTTAATTTCTGGTACTCATTTCTGTTAGAGGCTGAGTAAACCCCAGTGCCTATTGTGGCTGGAAGGATTAGTTAGGAGGGAAATATTGTACAATATTCTCATAGAGTTCAGGGTACCCAAGAAACTAGATAGGCTGATTAATATGTGTTTAAATAAAACATATAGTAATGTCCATATAGGTAAAAATTTTTCTGATAATTTTCCTACCTAGAATGGTCTAAAATAAGGTGATGCTTTACTGCCACTGCTTTTCAACTTTGCTTTAGAATATGCCATTAAAAAGGTGCAGGAAAACCAGGTGGGACTGAAATTAAATGGGACACATCAGCTGTTTGTCTATGCTGATGATGTGAAGCTACTATGTGATAATATAGATACCACAAAGAAAAACACACAAACTTTAATTGATTCTACTAAGGAGGCTGGTCTAGAAGTAAACATGGAAAAAACTGAGTATATATTGCTGTCTCATCACCAGAATGCAGGGCAAAATCATGCCATAAAGATAGCTAGCAGATGTTTTGAAAATGTGGTACAGTTTAGGTATTTTGGAATGGCTGTAACAAATCAAAACCTAATTAAGCAGGTAATTAAGAGGAGACTGAATTTTGATAATGCTTGCTACCAGTCCAAAACCTTCTGTCTTCTCGACTGCTATACAAAAACATAAAAATCAGAATATACAAAACTATAATTTTGCCTGTGGTTCTGTATGGGTGTGAAACTTGGTCTCTGACATTAAGGGAGGAACATAGACTGAGGGTGTTTCAGAACAGGATGCTGAAGAGAATATTTGGACTGAAGAGAGATGAAGTGCCAGGAGATCTCAAAAAAGTGTACACTGAGTAGCTTCAATGATGTGTACTCTTTGCAAAGTATAGTTTTAAAATCAAGTCAAGGAGGATTATATGGGAATGGAATGTACCATGAATAGGGGGATAAAAGACTGCATATAGAATGTAGGAGGGAAAGCCAGAAGGAAAGAGACCACTAGAAAGACCAAGATGAAGGTGGGTGGATTATAGTGAAATGGATTTTAGATAGGATGAGGTGGCATGGACTGGATCAATCTGGTACAGGATAGAGACCAGTGAAGGACTCTTGTGAACATGATAATGAACCTTTGGGTTCCACAAAATGCTGAAAAGTTCTTGAAGAGCTGCACAACTGGCGGCTTCTCAAGTAGGCTAGCACCATGAAGTTATTTATTTCTCGTTTATGTTAATGACTTACCGAAGGATATTGACCATAAGCTATATCTGTCCTGTGTGCTGATGACATCAACATTTTAATTATGAGTCCAATTGCTACTCAGTTACAGAATGATCTTAATATTACTTTTGAACAATTAAATAAGTGGTCTGAAGCTAATCTACTCTCCATTAATTCTGATAACGATTATTTTATTCAATTTATGAATAAAAGTACTACACATGCATCAGACATTTCTATAAAATATGGTGATATACACATTTCTAATACTTTCAATACAAAATTCCTTGGATTGTTTATTGATGAAACTTTGTCTTGGAAAACACATATTGAGTATATTATGTCTAAATTAAGTTCAGCTTGGTATGCCATGAGGTCAGTTATATCATATGTGTCACTGAATATTTTATAAAAATGATTTACTTGTATTATTCCTATTTTCACTCTGATATTACTATTTTTCTGGGGCATTCTCAAGACAGTGTAAAAATCTTCAGATGGCAGAAGAAAATAATTAGAATCATGCTTGGTTGCAGAACCAGAGAGTCATACAAGAAATTGTTCATGAAATTCTTTCTCTTCTTTTCATGACCAAAATCAAGAAAGAACACATGGCAAATTCTGAGGTATACCATATTAACATGAGACTACATTTAAACTTCCCAATTTAACTACCTAAATATCAGAAAGGAGTTTACACTATAAAGGCTTTCAATGTGCTTCCTACTTATATTAAGCAAGAGTTCAACAGTTCTCATCATCATCAGTAATCTGTCAGATGACAGGTCCACAGTCTCTTCCAAAACAATTCCTCCACTTAATGCGATCTAGAGCTTTCTCCTTCAAATGACAGTATCCTCTTCTGTCCCCAAGGTCATCCATCATCTTCTTACGTCTTCTTCCTTGTCTTCTTGTCACTTCTATCTGCCCCTCTATCTTTCCTTCAATAACTTCTTTTAGAAGGCAGTTTCTGCGTAAAACATGACCAATCCAATTAGCCTTCCGTTTTCTTATTTCATGTAGGATATTCCTCTGCTCACTGACTCTAATTAACACTTCTTCATTTCTCACATAATCGGTCCAACTGATCTTCTCCATCCTTCTCCAACACCACATTTCGAAACTTTCCAGATGTTTCTGATCTACTGCCCTAAGTGTCCATGTTTCAGCCCCATACAGAGCTATGCTCCAAATGTAGCATTTCACTAGTATCTTCCTCAAATTTAAGTCCAATTTACTGGTAAAAAGATCCTTCTTCTTGCATAATGCAGCTTTTGCCATGGCAATCCTGGATTTAATTTCACTAGTACACCTTCCATCATCTGTTAACAAGCTACCCAAATATTTAAAACATTTCACATTCTCCAGTTGTTTTTGGTCTATCTTTATTGTGACTGGGGTTGGTTGTCTCGAAATTTTCATTACTTTTGTTTTCTCCACATTCATTTCCATGCCATAGCACCTTCCAATTTCAATTAGTCTATCAATCATGCCCTGTAGCACAGTTTCTTCCTTAGCCATTAACACAAGGTCATCTGCATATTTCACAGTTTGAATAATTTGCCCTCCTACTTTGAAGTCACCGAGCCCATCCAGAGCTTCCTTGGTAAGGCATTCGCTGTACAAGTTGAACAGAATTGGTGATAAACAGCATCCTTGTCGAACTCCTCTTCCAATCTGCACACTTCTTGTCTCCCCCCTGCCCAGTCGTACTATAACTTTCTGATCCATGTAAAATTTACTAATCAATCTTCTTTCACGCCCATCGATACCTGTTTCCTTTAGGATCTGCATTAATTTGGTCCAGT